CCCCTATACTTGTGGGTCATCAATACTTATGGCTATTCTCTCTTATTTTACAAGGTTTATCATCAAGAGGGAGAATGCCGGCAGTTGGAATTCTGGACGGAAAAGGAGCAAATATTGGAAACCTATTCTGCACAGCTCCAAAAGTCCTGAAACTCCACGAAAGTCATTTTTGGAATTAATAAGAATTACTTAGAAAAGAAAGTACCAGAGGGGGCCCACACCCTGGCCAGGAGGGTGGGGGTGCCCCCCCTACTGGGCGCGCCCCCTGTCTCTTTGGCCCCCTGTTGGCCCTCCGGTGCCCATCTTTTGCTATATGAAGCCTCTTACCCTGGAAAAAATCATAAGCAAGCTTACGGGACGAAACTCCGCCGCCACGAGGCGGAACCTTGACGGAACCAATCTAGGGCTCCGGCGGAGTTGTTCTACTGGAGAAACTTCCCTCCGGGAGGGAGAAATCATCATCACCAACGATCCTCTCATCGGGAGGGGGTCAATCTCCATCAACATCTTCACCAGCACCATCTCCTCTCAAAACCCTAGTTCATCTCTTGTATCCAATCTTGTATCAAAACCACAAATTGGTACCTGTGGGTTGCTAGTAGTGTTGATTACTCCTTGTAGTTGATGCTAATTGGTTTACTTGGTGGAAGATCATATGTTCAGATCCTTAATGCATATTAATATTCCTCTGATCATGAACATGAATATGCTTTGTGAGTAGTTACATTTGTTCCTAAGGACATGGGTGAAGTCTTGCTATTAGTAGTCATGTGAATTTGGTATTCGTTCGATACTTTGATGAGATGTATGTTGTCTCTCCTCTAGTGGTGTTATGTGAACGTCGACTACATGACACTTCACCATTATTTGGGCCTAGAGGAAGGCATTGGGAAGTAATAAGTAGATGATGGGTTGCTAGAGTGACAGAAGCTTAAACCCTAGTTTATGCATTGCTTTGTAAGGGGCTGATTTGGATCCACTAGTTTCATGCTATGGTTAGGTTTACCTTAATACTTCTTTTGTAGTTGTGGATGCTTGCAATAGGGGTTAATCATAAGTGGGATGCTTGTCCAAGAAAGGGCAGTACCCAAGCACCGGTCCACCCACATATCAAATTATCAAAGTACCGAACGCGAATCATATGAGCGTGATGAAAACTAGGTTGACGATAATTCTCATGTGTCCTCTGGAGCGCTTTTCTCATTATAAGAAATTGTCCAGGCTTGTCCTTTGCTACAAAAAGGATTGGGCCACCTTGCTGCACCTTATTTACTTTCATTGCTTGTTACCCGTTACAAATTATCTTATCAGAAAACTATCTGTTACCTATAATTTCAGTGCTTGCAGAGAATACCTTACTGAAAACCGCTTGTCATTTCCTTCTGCTCCTCGTTGGGTTCGACACTCTTACTTATTGAAAGGACTACGATAGATCCCCTATACTTGTGGGTCATCAGAGCTCTCCGCTTCAGCATACCCGCGCTTCGAGCTGCGTGTCGTATGGCCCGAGGCAGTCGGCTGTTAAGCCCCTCCCGCCTTGCCACTCAGGTCATGTTGCACCTTGAAGCGGGGGGCCCTCGGGCCCTCGGATGACGACAAAGACTCGACCTCCTCCCCCTCCTCGGTGCTCTCGTCCTCGTCATCATCATCCTCCTCCTCCGAGTACTGGCGCTCTGTGTCACTTATCACGTCCTCCGTCGACCGGTCAACCACCGGTATTTCGGAGATCAGCTATTGGAAACTCTGAAGAAACAAAGACGCCACAAAACGGAAGTCAAATGCGCAAGAAATAACCTAATAACAATCTGACTGGTTGGGAAAAGGATTATCTCAATCGGCAGCGTGTCCTTGGCATACGAGGGCACCTTCCTACCCCCCAGTGGGTTGTCACGAGCGCAAGTGATCGCTCTGATTTTGGCGCCCACGTCCTTCTCGGCAAGGTCCTCTGCGTGCACCTGAGTGGGGTCATTTGGACCCTCATACGTCCACATGGGATGCGCCCTGGCCTGCAGCGGCTGGATCCGCCTACTAAGGAATGTCTCCCGGAGATCCATCCCATTGACGTTGGCATTCACGGCCCCAACCATGGCACTGGCTAAGATGCCCACCTTCGTCTTCTCCTCCTTAATCACTATGAGGGACTCGGGAGCCCCTACCCTCTCCGCCGAGTACAGAGGAAGGCTCGATTGGTTGTTGGCTCTAGGGACATCCCTGCAGTAAAACCAACTCCTCTGTCATCCCTTGATGGAGTCGGGAAAGCTCATCTTTGGGAAGGCACTACCGCCCCTGAGCTGGATCCCCAAACCTCCGCATAGCTGGGTGACATGGGTCTTCGCACCAGTTGTCGAATCCTTCTTCGCGGTCATCGACTGGCATGTGAAGATGTGCTTGAAGAGACCCCCAATGTGGGTGGCAACCAAGGAAGTTTTGCAAAGGGAAATAAAAGCCGAGAGGTAGACAACGTCATTTTTGAGGGAGATGATGGAGTTGCGCCCCAAAATATTCCAAAAAGGCTCGGTAGAAGGGATGAGGAGGCATCGAGAAACCTTGTTCGATGTGAGTCACCAGGAGGACGCGCTCTTCCTCCTACGGCGCCGACATGACCTCACCCGCCTTGGACGCCTCCATCCATCTGCCAGAATACCCCCCATCCCCGCGGCGAGCTCCTTCAGCTGTTTGGCCGAGACGCATGAAGGGATCCAATCCCCCGATGCACCGCCAATCGGAGCGCCTGAACTCGAGGAAGTGGCCTTCCCGACCTTCTTTGCCTTCTCTACCTTCGCCGTGGAGTCCTTCGCCATGACCTTGAGTGCTCTATTGGCAAGGGAGCGGTCGGGTGGAGAAGGGAAGCGAAGGAGTCGAGGAGGGAAGGGGAATCTGAGGAAATAACCCTAGCCCCAAAACATTTTATACCTCTAGTAAAAATCATACCGTAGATCTCCAGCCACAGATCCCTGGATCAACCGCGCCCGCGACGGCAGCACGCACAGAGTAACCGTGGCACGTGGAGAATTTCTGGGTGAAAACCATGGCGTCGTGCCCCACTTTCGCCACTAAGCTACAACGTTACCGCTTCTGTGCCCGCGCACCCAATTTTGAATCCCATCATTTCTGCAGGAAATCAATCCGATTGATCGCCCACCATCCCTTTCCTAAAGGACATTTGTCAGTCCGACTGACCACCCTTCGCGGGGACCCGTGCACTCAGACACGTAAAACACCTGACTGAAGTTACCTTCTGGTTCGCTATGAGACGAGCTTGACGCCCCTCCGCGGGTTGACTTGGCCCTTCCACTAGGCTCCAAGGCGCATGCCTCGTAAATTTAGACTCGAAGATGGCATGCGCTGGCGTTCCCATGGGATATGGAGTGGCATCTCCCGGAAGAGTCAGACCATGCGTCGACATCGCCACTCGAGTTTTTATGGCATGTCCACACTCGGACCTCAAGTCTATCTCTCTTGAAGAGACATGAATGCCACCAGGTTTTACTCGGCGATCAACAACACCCGGTCACCCAGGGAACCCTTTAGTCCAGAATATGTTGTGTTTTCATCCAAGGCGTAGCGGGCTACTGCGGAAACATATTTCGAGTGCCCCACAAGCACTCGGACTTAACCGAAGAGCTCAGTCTGCTTGCCCTACGAAAACTCAACCGATTCAGGGGCTAATGATGAGGTCACCTACTATAGGTAGGGTCTCTGGACCATATGAGCGTTCGGATGTGTACAACAGGAAGTCCACTCAGACGCATCGACAACACTCGGACGCCAACCCTCCAGTCAGCATGACGAGACCACATGGGAGCTGCAATGGTCAAGTAGTCTTAAGTTGAACTTTAAGTAGAGCCATAGCTACTATAACTCCCGTAGTTGTGACTATCTACACCTGTAACTGCCGTAGTTATGGGCATCAATCACCCTGGCGACGTGGGAGTGAAGGCGGCGCATTCTATATAAGCGTTCCTCCTCCTCCAGAGCAAGGGTTAAGCATTCTCTGTAATCATACCCCCCCAAAAAAAACGAGTCTCAAGGCACGAGATGTAGGGTTGTTACCCCGTAAGGCTATTACCTCCTCGGAAAAGGGCTTGAACTCCTAAACATCGAGTATTACACTTGTGCCGTAGCTAGGCTCTACAACTCTTTCGTACCCCTAATACTCACTGTCAGGATCGTAACCCCGACAGACGCAACGGGCGACGCTCTCAGTCGGCGAGCCACTTGAATGCTGGTATGAATGCTGAGTTGATTCAGGTGGGAAAGGATGTGGGCAAGAGATAGAGCTTTGGGTGAGCCGGGGTTGTCAAACATAGGCAAGACAGCGGTCCAGACACTCTAGAGTGGTAAATGCTGAGTCGCTTCAGACGAGAAAGGGAGCGGGCAAGGAATAGAGTTTTGGGTGAGCCAAGGTTGTCAAACACGGAAGTGACAGCGATCTAGACGCAAAGCCCACCCCTTGCTTCCGGTTTGCGGGAAAAAAACATCCGAACCGCGCGGTCCTTCCTCAAACCGCCTCTATCCATCCTGACCGCGCTGTCCAGATGGATACGGGCAGTTTGAGCGTCCGCGTTCGAGATGCCCTTACTGTGTTTCTCAAAAAACAAAGAAAATCTATCTACTAGTATTATCCTCGCAAAGAAGAAAAAAATTACTCCCTTCTATCCGAATTAAATGACGAAACCTCTATACAATGTAAAATATCTACTATTCACACACAAATCTGTATCCAAATTCAGCCCATGAGTCGCTAAACAAAAAGGACAAACGTACCGGTTTCCACCAAATATCGGTATCCGTATGATATTCTCCCATTTTTAAGCCTGAGCGCATAGCATGGATAAGGCACATGGTACTATGCTCGATTGTTTGCAAGTCATTTCCAAATCCCGCGACAATGACAACTCTGCACCTCAACTATGTATGTACTGACTGCTACTGCCCTTGTATGGAATTCCACTACAGTGTATAAATTGAAATGCACTGCACTCCGCTTCAGAGTGCCACTAGTTCGATTCAGCAGCTGCAAATAGTTGCTTCCATTTCTCCTGGTCGCTCCCAGGTCCTTCGCCCTGCACCACATCATTTGCCATATCAGTCATTGGAAAAAACGAAAAAGCCATATCAGTCGGAAGAAAAGGAAATTTCAATTGGTAAGTAGGAAAATAAACAACGATTCATTTCGAGCAAGGCCTGATGTGTAACGCTAGTTGGCTAACAAAATTCACGCCATGAGTCCAACTGAATAACAGGATAAAAATAAATAGACAATGCAAGCAAAGGTTTAAAGCGCAAGTTAACATCACGTCTGAAGCATGCATGAGTACCTTCACTGAACTAATCTCGTATATTTTTCCTTGGGTAGATTCAATATCCAAAGCTTGGATACATGCTTCTGCCACCACCAATCTGCTCGCTTCTCCCACAAGCTTGTCACCTAATAAGATAAGACAATCCTTTCGAAATAAGGTAATGACCAAGTGTTACGAGCGTAAAAGAGCTTAGTAAGAGAAGTAGTTCATCATCAAATGGAGAGGGACCTTGGCCTATCTCAACTGCTCGTCTTTCTCCAGCTGTAGCCTTAACAAGTGTGTTCAGGTCATAGGAAGTGTAGGGCCCATCTGTTAATCTCCCCGGCCTGCAACCAACTAGTATCATATCAAAAAAAGAACATGTCCATGAATGAGCCCATGGATTATTCCTTGTATGTACATAATATAATTAACCTGATGATCGTGAAAGGTATGCCTGAATTGCGGACAAAGTCCTCTGCCATCTTCTTGTATTTAAGCACACCAAAGAGGTTCATGATACTGCAAATGCGTACTAGTATGAGGTAAGGATAAACAGATTTATATTGTACTCCCTCAATTCACTATTATAAGATGTTTTAGATATTTCAACATAGACTGCATATGAACTGAAATGAGTGAACAAACACGCCAAAACTTGTCTACATACATCCGATTTAGAAAAATGTTAGAACATCTTATAATAGTGAACGGAGGGAGTACATGATAAAGAAACCGGTGTAAAGCTAAACCAGAACTAAATATCCAAGTAAAATGCAGAGACTTAAATTGAAAAAACAAGCATGCATGCCTTACACTAAAACATGCACTGGACAACAGTAACAGAAAGTAATTACTAAAATAAATTTTGCGTCTATAAACAGGTTGTGGCACTTTAGTGAAAATGTCTAATTTCAGGATATCACACGAAATATAAAGAACTTTTGTTTAGAGGCAATTGATGGAAGAATATACTACTGACCTAACCCTAATTACTCAAAAGTAGATGAAAGTAAACGACAATAATCTTCTCTCCTTTACTGAGAGGGGTCGGCCACATTATATAACAGACAACCTTGGCCAACAAGCTGGTAAATCTATTTAAACTCCAATACAATCTCTAAACTGAGTAGACTCTTTCCTAACAGAGAAGCTTAATCAACCAGGAATCTAATTAAGGGATAAGACTCCACGTTTGATGGGCTGGTCCACATAACAATTGATGACAAGTTGAAGCAGCACACAGTTGTGGAGGAACAACTCCACCTTGCTGCTACAAAGTGTACAACACTAGCGTTGAAGGAACTACTTCAACGTGATGTGCTAGATATCGCTCTAGAGGTGAATATAGGCCAATGTAGCAGCAGAAGTTCAGTCCAAAACTACTAGAGCACAAGATCTAGTCCAAGATCTTTGATAAGAACACCAAGTTTTATTATAGATAGTGGGGTACATAGCCAGGTTACAAACTAGAGGTGCGGACCTCTATTTATAGGCTTTGTGAAGCCTTCACACCTCAACTTCTAGTTATACCTAAAACACTCTAGAACTGAAAACATAGTATATATATTTGATATTGTAGATGTTGATATTTTTTTAATATAAATTTGGTCAAGCTTTGCAAAGTTTGACTTGACACAAATCTACTATGCGGAATAAAAAGGACTGGAGGGAGTATCTGGAAGTAGTCAAATGGGTTTCACTTCTGATTTTCTTTTTCTTTTCCCTCTCTCTATTGTTCCTCATCACAAATTCCACAACTTGGACATAATAATGTGTATCAATTGTACAATGCCATAGTTCTTCATCAGAGTTATAAGGTATACCTCCATGGTATTTCATTATATTTTGTAACACCAATCGATGACACCAAAACCAGTCTCTTGACCGTCTGTGGCATGGCACTCACAAAATTTCGAACGCCATCCCAATCTAGACACGTTAAATAGCGTGTCATCAGTAATAAGTGATAGAACATTGTATCCACACCAATTTACAACAATTGAATAAACACTTCTGGGCCACGAATGGCAAGTGATGTGCCATAAGCATGTTCATGATTAAAAAGACATGCATAATAAGCTCTGAAAATGAATGTTGAGATTTCAATTTTCTTACAATTTATTACTTATCAGCATTCTGCAACTGTCACAATTCGATATTTATTTTCTCCACAGCGGAAGACTTTTTCGTTTTTTTGAACCGGGCTAACCCCCTTTCCATTGCATGACAACGGAGATACATCAGTTCCAGAACCATTACAGAGAACAGGAGAGATTTATAGGCTCCCAGGATTATCCTTGCCCCAAATCTTTGGATTGCCATACGGTAAACAAATAATCAGTTTCAGTTTCAGTAGACCTAAGTTAAGTGCAGAATCTTGGGCAGTACGTACCGACACGTTCAGGAGTGTTATCCCCATCCCAGCGTTTTGATGGAAATGCTGTAGTCCCAGTAGTACAGATCACATGTGTAACTCCCTATGAAAATAGACCCTATATTTTGATTTATTCAATTATGCATACATAGATGGTCGAACAATTATGCATGGATTCAGCTTCAAAATAAATAAGTATTCCTCTGTTCCTAAATATAAGTCTTTTTAGAGATTTCACTATGGACTACATATGGATCAAAATGAGTGAATCCACACTCTAAAGCATGTCTATATGCATCCGTACGTAGTTTGTAGTGGAATCTCTAAAAAGACTTATATTTAGGAACGGAGGGAGTGGAAGAGAGCAACCTCAAACATTTCTGGATTCAAAGCGTCAGCATTTCTCGTGTCCGCTTCATAAACCTGTAAAAAAGGAGACTCACTCGTATAAGGAAGTCACAGTTTGGAGAAAATAGAATGCTGAAGCTAGCTGTTGATGTAATTAAGATTACCTGCAAAACACTCCCATCCTGCTTGCCAAATAAGGACGCTGCCTTTTCAGGGTTTCTTATGAGCAGCCTTGTCTTAATTTTCCTGCTCAGCAAAGATGCTACCAGCAACTGACCTGCAAGGACAAGGATAAGGATCCTACACGATCAATATCTAGCCCAAATTCGTCAAGTAACTGTGAAAACTGTAACTGCAGGATAATAATCTCTATATATCAGACTGACATGAGATGCAAAGCAGAAAGGAGTATGTATACCTATAGAAAACTAGCATGTTTAGATCGCTTGCACAAAACTCCTGATGGCAAACAAAAATTGTAGGGAAGAGAAAGAAATCGCGGCTGCAGGTTACAGGTCAATTTCGGGTGAAACAGACGCACAAAACAACTGACAGTTATTAGGCGGGCTGCCACGCCATTTTGTGTCCAAGTTGACCTCACCCGACAATCTTGTTCCTCTCACAAACTAAAAATAGTTTATACAATACAGAAAAAGAGAGGCAAGCTTCAGTAATTTCTTAATCGAATTATGAGCTGACACCCGTCGCTACGAACTCATCCGTGGATAGATACCAACAATGTACGGAGCTTTTCTCGAGAAAAGAATATAAGCAATTAAGAGCAGCGAAGAGGAGCTCATCTCCTACCTACGCCGCCGGTTCCGCCGACGACGAGGACCAGCCTCGAGGAGGCCTCGGCCTCGGCCTCTTCCTGCTGCGCGGTCCTGGGCTCCACTGCCGCCGCGAGCCGCCACCCACCTCGACCCGACGCGGCGAGTCTCGAGGACAAGGGAAGCGAGCAAGACCGCAGCACCGCTGTGCCGCCTGGCTGCGCCAAGACGGGCGGCTGGCCGTGTTTGGAGGTTGGGTGGCGCGACGATGAGACCGCCAGCGCCGGGCTGAGGTGAGCCGTCGCCATTGTTGGAGATGAGATGACCGCGGGGGACCAGGGGAGGGGGGCTCTGGAAACTTGAGGCGAGAGCGAGAGGGGGAGTGAGATATCGGGGAGCTTGGCGGCGAGGGGGAGTGGTCCGGGACGTGCGGCGCGGCTCAACCACAACCCAATCCGGATGGGCGCTGATAGGCGCCGGCGCACCGGCCTAAATTTGGGCCGGTCAGCGCGTATCCGTTCGATAGCAATTCTTTGTACCGTCAGATCTGGTCCCTTTTTTCTCTGATACATCATGTGGAAACAAAAACAAAAAAGAGAATCTCCTGCACATCCCCACCTCACTCACGCAGCCCACCATGGCCGCCCCTGCCGCTGACTTCGAAGCCCGGCTGGCTCGCCGTCCTCGCAGCACCGGTCCTCGCCGGATCCAAGCTTTTCCCCACTCTCTTTGGTTGGTGCTTTTTTTCACGGTTGAAGCTTTCCTCATGCCGATTGTAGCAAAACAAAAACTCCAGTAATCTGTTGGAGCAAAACAATCAGCCTGATGTAGCATAAAAAACACCGGTTCTAGCAAAAAGCAAAAATTGTTCTAACAAGAAAAAAAAATGAAGGTTCCAGCAAAAACAATAAATAATCTTGCCGGTTCCATCTCTTCATAGGCTGGTTGGAGCAAAAATGATTGTTGGTTCAAGCAAAAAAAGACCAATGCAGCAAAGACCCATGGTAGCCGGTGTCCATCGCCGTCCCAATATCATCATAGCCTATGCAGCAAATTCAAATGCTAGTTCCATCAAAAACCAAAAGAGGTTCCAGCAAAAATCTGATGCATCAAAAAATCATGGCAGTGACGGCGCCACCATCCCGTCAATTGCAACAAAATCAAAAGAAGGTTCCAGCAAAAAAAGAAGTGATTCCAGCAAAAACCAAAAGAGGTTCCAGCAAAAACAAAAAATGTTCACCAAAATCAAACGGGGATGGTAGCAAAAAAGAAGAAGGATTGTAGCAATAAAAATAGGTGGATCCAGCAAAAAAACAACCTGGTTCCAGCAAAACCCGCGTTCCAGCACAAACTCGTCGCCACCATGGTTGATTGGAGCTTGGCCATGGCGACTAACGAACCATGGTTGCGGCGGCCATGGAGTCATCTAGTTGCTGGTGAACAAGGCGACCAGCACACCCCTGGCTGCATGCGGCCATGAAGAGGGGTGCATCCGGCGCCTGCGATCCACCCAGAACTCAAACGAGGCCTGTTAGGCGACGATGGTGACGATTACTAGCTGCCGGCGGCCATGGCGACGAGCACCTTCCTTGGCTATGGGTGGGGTGGGGATGAGATGGGGATGGCTCTCGATGGGTGGGGATGAAGATGCGGTATGATCTGGATGAGGATGAGCAACGAAGGGATAACGATGCAGGTCACGAGCGGTGGTGGGCCCCTAACAGCCACGCGTTTTGACTGTGGGCTAATCGTGATGCTTCAATCAGCAGTAGATGAACGACCCGTGCGTGACCGGCAGAAAACTCGGCCGACGCGCCAGGTATAAATGTTTCCCAATCCGGATTGACGAGCGCCGCGTCTCCCCCGTCGCCGCCGACTCGTGCCATCAGTCAGACGTGTGGGTGTGGTACGTCTCCACGTAGTCACATTTGAACCGTCCATCGGACTTTGATCCGTACCAGAGGTCTTCATCGCGCCGGTTTCTCGCCCCGCTTTATAAATAAAGCACACCGAATAGAGTACACGACCGAACGATACATAATCACGAGGTAGCCATCAAACAATGCCGATCCTAAGATAACCGGATCACGCAGACACTACGCTATCGGATCCCGTCCGTTGCAATGGAAGAAAAACGAATGCAACGCATATGCGTGCTTATAATGTAGCAAACATGGTTGCCATGAATCAGGCGAGATTGCGGCTTGACGATAGTACCGGCATGGATGAGAGCAGAATCCCAGTTGAGATGCTGAAGGCGCGTCACGAAGACATCCACAATCGTCTATGATGTTGATCTCTATGTGTGTTGTCGAAGCGAATGGGCATGGCGCTGGGGGCGGAAGTAGAAACATGGTATGTCTCCGGTTGACATGAACCATGATTGGCCAAAAACGCCCAACAGCGCAGCATCCAGACTGTGTAATCATGTGCAGGGAGATGCATGCTAGATGAGAGGGGATTCGGGGGAACCAAGACGACTCTCAATGGTGGGTGGGTAGGTGAGAGAGAAACGAGAGAGGAGAAATGAGCCCCTGACATGGGAACATTAGTGCATCCATTGTGTTGCAACATTTAGAGTGAATTCCACTTTTTACCCCATATTTATACATTTGTGACACTAATTACCCCTTCGAGTGAAAATTCGTCTAAAATACCCCTTTTGAAATCTTTAGACCCTTGTTTTTTGATGCGTGTCCATCAGATAAGGTGTGAGGTGACGCCCTGTATCCAAAAACATGTGGACGGCCACAAGGAGTGGAACAGATAGACAAGAGAAGCTTGGACAAGATCGCCAATGATGCCCTCCGATCCTTACAGTTTTTTTTACAAATCAATGACGCAACATGCCGATCCTATCGACCATAAACAGACAAAATGTAAAACTGGGGTAAAACCGTGTTAAAAGTCTCCAAAATCTGACATTTCGATAAAAGTTCCGCTAAATAGGGTAATATGTGTCACAAATGTACAACTACAAGGTAAAAAATGGAATTCACTCCAACATTTATGCGGAGTTCTTATAACTGCAGTACGAAATTACCATCGATCTTTTTCCACATACACGGCTTCAGCTGAAATGGCAATGCCATCAGCGGTCGTGCTCGTCCCGACGCCTTTATTCTGTCCAAGCGGCATGATCTCGACATTCGCCATTGCAGCTCGATTTGAAAGGCATTGCATTAGATTATCTTTTATATCTCCTTTATTCCCTATGGTTGCTTTTGGAATCTCAATATGCTTTGGAAATCGTTCTTTCGATGCCGATGTTGTCCACACGCATTCACAAAAACAGGTGTGCAGTGTTGATAGAATGCTGGTGTGGCACATGTGGTACATCGTTTTCATCTTTCTTGTTTTGCGGTACGCCGTGCAAACTGTGGATGTGCAAACCTGTGATTCCAATTGACATCTTCATCAAATTGTGGTGTTGCACCCAAAAAAGACCACCATGGCACGAAGAATTGCACAAGGATGCTAGCACGAGTGCTGTCGACCATCGAGGTCCATGGGCTCATTACCACTTCAATGTTCGCAAAAGTTGGTTGTCACTAGCCATTACCAACACCAAGAAGCTCGTGACCAAACAAAATCAAGAGAAAAACACAATCAATGTCCAATTAGGCATTACACAACAAAGGAAGAAGAACTTAACTTAGGAATGCAATGCATTTCTTCATCTCACAACCTAGAAAAAAGAGCCTTTACCCCGCAAAAAATGATGATAGAAATAGTAGCTTTTTAAAAAATGTGAACGTAAGAAATCATGATTCTTCTAACGATCATATGACTAGAAAAAAATGCCTTACACGAAGGCTTAAAACTTCTCCCACGTGAAGAGAACCAAATTGTACTGTCAGACAGGTTATCTTAGTATGTGTTTCCAGTGCATCTTAGCACGCAACATTTGACGCTGCACAGAAAATGTTTACTAGTGGCGCATAAATATGTGAATATCTAGATATAATTTAAAAACATTGCAAGATACACGGCCCCGATAACGGAGCCAGTCTTTGAAAAACAAAGCGGCACAAGAAAGAAAAGGAACACCGCAACTTCTATGCGGGTGAAATATATTAGGAAATGCAAATATGCATTCATGACCAAGAAATCAAAGGGAGTCGTCATTCACATGTTTTTCCTTCTATATACCCGTAGTAAGGCCGGGCGCGCAATGTGACTCCATGCAGCATGAGGTCTTGAGGTTGGAGAAGACTCACAGCTTCACAAAGTGGAATAGTGAGAAGAGGAACCAAACGGGTGCACGGTGGCCAAAGGAGGAAGAAACCTACACTAGTCAAGTCAACCAAAAAACCAGGCATCGTCTGTCTAGCTATCTGTCAAAAACATACTGTACTGCTGTAGCGCGGGGTGCTGAACGGGAAATGAGCATCAAGTGGGAATAAACTATGTCTCCGAGGTTCAGCATTGACCAGCCCTTCTTCGTTGTCGCCTCCTGATTCGCAATCAGCACTTCCATGTCTCCCGTTCCCCATGTTCCACCATCGCCATGGCTGTGGCTGTCCCCTCCTCATCCTCCTCCTCCCGGGTTTCCCCTTTGATGAATCTTCGCTGCCGTGCGCAGAAGCGGCGGCCGCCGGTAGCCATAGGGTCGTCCTCTACCCGCACTCGGAGAAGGTCTCGTCCATCGTGAGCAGCAAGTACAGGACCGCCTTCCATTTCCAGCCCCCCAAAAACTGGATCAACGGTACATATGCGCTCATCTCTGCACCTTCTTTTCTGTTTCTCCCATCTGTAAGTGCAGGTCCCATTTCTGAGGCGGTTTTCCTTTGATTTCCTGCTCTGAAATGTGTCGCTAGACATTTTGACTGTTAGTCTGAACCTTCACTTGATTGCATTGTAAATTAATGTTATAGCGATGCACTAGTCGCTTGTCTGTATGGTCCGGAGAAGCTTGTCAGATAATTTAGCTTCTTCACCTGCCTTCAATTTTCCCCTTTGGCCGCTGCAATGTCAGAAACATATTTGTTACACATTTGGGTTCTGAATTCTATATCTAACATTTCTTCATCATTGTTTCACACGGCATGGAAATCCTCGCCACCAAGACCATACAGATCCAAATGGTATGCAGCTATGTATGCATCTCCCTTACTCTTAATTATCAAAGATAAAATCAATCGTAGAGCAGTAGATGGATGTAACTAGTTGCTTCATTCATCAGGACCTCTGTACTACAAGGGCTTGTACCATCTCTTCTACCAGTACAACCCCGGCAGTGTGGTTCCGGGCAACAAGACCTGGGCCCACTCGGTCTCCACCGACCTCGTCAACTGGCTCAGGCTCGCGTCGGCATTGGACCGGACCGAGCCCTACGATGCCAGGGGCTGCTGGTCTGGCTCAGTCACTGTCCTCACCGATGGCCGGCCAGCCATCCTCTACACCGGCGCAGACGACGTGAAGAACCAAGCCCAATGCATCGCCTTCCCGAGTAACAGCTCCGACCCGTACCTCAGGGAATGGACCAAGCCCAGCAGCAACCCGGTGATCCGGCCGGATGGGCCGGGTCTGACCCCAAAACAGTTCAGGGATCCGACGACCGGCTGGACCGGACCGGATGGGCAGTGGAGGATAGCAGTTGGGGCCGAGCTGGACGGCTACAGTGCGGCACTCTTGTACAAGAGTGAGGACTTTGCGAGTTGGAGCAGGGTTGATCACCCGCTCTACTCCTCCAACTCATCCACCATGTGGGAGTGCCCCGACTTCTTCGCGGCACTGCCTGGCAACACCAGCGGACTGGACCTCTCCGCGGCGGTCCCGAATGGTGCCAAGCATGTCCTCAAGATGGGGAAAATATCCGGTGCACCCGAGCTTATCGTGCTACCGGTACACCGAACTCACATTTGTGCTTTTAAAATCTTCAAAAAATTCTGGAAAAAAAAAAGACTCACATAACATCAATGTAGTTTGTCATAAAATTTCAAGTCAAAATTTGAAACATGTCTCGAAAAACAAAAATGACAAATTCAACATTGAATAGTATATAACATAACTTGGGCTCTAGATTTGGCCCATTATCACACAGATGTCAAGTTTGTCATTTTTGTATCTCAAAATATATTTCAAATTTTTATACGAAATTTTGTGACATCATACATTGATGTTGTGTTAACATGCTAGAATTTTTTCAGATTTTTTAAAATATTCTATGGCAGCCGGTGCACCGGTAGCACCACAAGTGCGGGTGCACCGGATACATTCCCCCTCAAGATGAGCCTAGATTCCTGTGACAAATACATGGTTGGGGTATATGATCTGGAAGGCGATAAGTTTGTGCCAGATAATGTCATGGACGATAGGCGTCTGTAGCTGAGGATCGACTACGGCAATTACTACGCGTCCAAGTCATTCTTCGACGCAAAAAAGGGAAGGAGGATCATATGGGGCTGGGCTAACGAGTCGGATAGTTCGTCGGATGATGCCGCAAAAGGTTGGGCTGGGATCCAGGTAAGTAAGAAAAACTGCCCCTGGTGGTTCACTGTCACTGTCAAGTTTCAGGAACTAATGATTTTGAGTGGTTTAGCAGATACCACTGTGACATGTGTATCCTCGTTTGTTAGGCGATCCCCAGGACTATATGGTTAGATGGCGATGGTAATCAGTTGCTGCAATGGCCCGTTGAAGAGATCGAGTCCCTTCGAAGAAACGAAATTAGTCATCAAGGAATAGAGCTGAAAAAGGGTGACATGTTTGAAATTAAGGGGACTGATACTTTGCAGGCTAGTTCCTTCTTTTTTTCACACAGATTCCTACTGCTTGATATTTTTACTATAAAAGTGCCATGTCAGTTAAAAATCAGTTTGGTCCTGTGGTGATTAACCAGACATAATTTTCTTGGAGTAGGCGGATGTGGAGATAGAGTTTGAGCCGGGAACCATGGATGAAGCTGATGCTTTTGATCCTTCCTGGCTATTGGACACAGAGAAGCATTGCAGGGAAGCAGATGCATCAGCTCCTGGTGGCCTGGGGCCATTTGGGCTTGTGGTTCTAGCCTCTGATGACATGGAGGAGCACACTGCCGTGCACCTTAGAGTCTACAAATCAAAGCACAAGCACATGATTCTTATGTGCTCTGACCTAAGAAGGTTAATTTAATTCCTATGGATTTACTTTTTTGTCTTTCTTGAATGTTCTCTACAATACTCACAGAAATTGATACTATATCAGAAAAATTTCACTCTCTGTTCTACATTGCATCGATATAAGCAAGAGAGTTCAGTTTCGAAATAAAAAGAAATATAAGCAAGAGGGTTACCCTTTTCCTTGTATACAGGTCGTCCCTGAGACCAGGGCTGTACAAGCCGGCCTATGGGGCCTTCTTCGAATTTGATATTGAAAAGGAAAGGAAGATATCTTTGAGAACATTGGTTAGGCCTTTTGTCTCCTTTCTCCCCATGCACCCATATCACTCATGTGTGATAATTAGACAGAGATGCTCTAACAGCCATGGATATCCTGTGCAGATTGATCGTTCGGCGGTGGAGAGCTTTGGTGGTGGCGGCAGGGTTTGCATCATGGCTAGGGTCTACCCAGTTGTGCTGGTCGATGACAGAGGCGCTCGTATGTATGCTTTTAACAATGGCACGACCGTGGTCATGGTGTCACAGCTCAAGGCATGGAGCATGAAGAGGGCACAGGTGAATGTGAAGAAGGGATGAAGTACTTACCCAACAGAACAAATGCTATTGACAGTGGTGCAAAATTGTTACTTGACTGACCTCTAGTCCATACTGTTGTGGAACGTAGATTACTCCCTCCGCCCCGAATTACTTGTCGCAGAAATGGACGTAGTAGTTACTAGTCATGTTGTTATGGTGCAAAAATATGGTTGTGTGCATTGCATGAAGCATGTCTTAAAAAATGATGTGAAGTACTGGTGATTCGTAAAACAAACATTGTACTTGTTTTATTGTCAAAACTGCACATAATTCTCATGCTCAAGCACTGGTGCTCGACATTTATATGATGTTTGAGTTGACCTATTTCTCATCTTGTATGCAACCTACATGGTTGATCCACTCCAAGTACATGCATCTTGGAATATTTTGTTTGGAAAAGGAGAAAAATACTTACTTTATTTTTACTCCGCATCACTCTACTTGTAGGATGATCAGGGGATGATAAACTCCAGTTGTACTTCTCATATACTGTTCTCTAATAATTCCTGAGCTTGTACCTTCTTCTATTCATACTTCCTTGTTGCTATATATTGGAGATGGAGGTAAGTGAGAATGCAAGAAATTAACCTGGTGCTCATGAAGAAAAATATTAAACTAACGATTTGTAATTCGATCATTTCTTCCTTTTCCTGAGAACTAAACAAACAGAGAAGCTCGATGTGAATTTCACTCTTGGTCTCCATACAAAGAGGTACTTCATTGAAAATTATTCTACTGGAGTGCACAATAGGAATATGTGTTTCTGACCCTAGTACTATGTTCTGTTCCCTTAGTGCCATGTAATAAGTTTGATCCTCCAGCTTCAACGTTGTGCACCCCA